CAATAGGTCAAGGGCTCAAAACTGGATTGTCCTCTTTCCCTAAGATGGTTTCTGAGTGTCTCATCCTACCACCACCTCCTTCCCATTAAGATTTTCTCCTTGAGGAGAAATGAATGAAGACCTGTTATTTTTAGGAGTCACCAACATGCTGGAAGCCTACTGTATCAGGAACATGAGAATTGCCTTCGGCATGCCCCAAACGCTGTCACCTGGAGTCAGCTTCCTGTGTTACTGGGTCTCCACCATCGCTTGCTCAGGCCCTGGACATTCACCCCAAAGCAGCCACCCTGGTGGGAGTCTGATGGTTGTGCTGCTGCCTTCTTAGCATGGAGATGTGAGTCAGTGACAAGACAGGATGAGATCCCTGAAATACATAATCTCAATAAAGTTGAATAAAATCTAGAAAGCAGGAGTGAAAGGAGAGAAGTAGTATACCTTCTCTTTAGCAAGCACCATGCTGCCTGTGATTACCTGAGAATGTATTTCAGTCCTCTATGTCTACTATCAGCCTGCATCAAGATTATGCTTAAAGAAGCAGAATGAGAGCATTTACTTTATTGAGGAAAAATAAACCTGTGGGAATTGTAGAACTGGGGCCATCTAATTGTTTGAAAATCTGGGGACTCGGGTTATGCTAATTTGGTGAGGATTTCTTCAGAGTGGGATTTTGTCAGAGTTGAGAGGATTTCTTTTCTTGGTTGGGATTGCTGGTAGGCTGATCGTCATGCTTCTCCGAGAACAAGCAAGGTCTCTTTTCTGGAGCTAGCAGAAGGCCTGCCTCAAGTTCACATAGGCTGTCATTTGTGAACCACAGACTGAGTCTGTCAGACGGAGTGTCGTCCTCCTCCTCTGACTGCATCGAGTAGACTGAGGAGGACTCTTTGGTGCTGGTCTTTTCGCTTACACCTGCCGAGAAAAGGAGGATGAGTTAGATAAATGTAACATTCCATCAGTGGAGCCGGTATTTGTTTACTCATTTAAGGGACTCAAATCCTTTTACTAGAAATAGTCCAACTGTAAATGCCCAGTTTCTAAACTCCACACTGAGCAGACTCAAAGAAACCTTTGTTTTCTTTTCTTTCTTCCTTCCTCTCTTTCTTTCTTCTTTCCTCCTTCCTTCCTTCCTTCTTCCCTCCCTTCCTTCCTCCCTCCCTCCCTCTCTCCCTCCCTTCCTTCCTTCTTCCTTCCTCCCTCCCTCCCTCCCTTTCTCTTTCTTTTTGGCATGATTGGCCTTCTTGTTTCTTACTACACTCCATGTATCTACCTCAGTGCTCCTTGGTATTTCCCGTACATCTCCCTTGGCTCCTTTCCTTCCTGTCCTCCTCTTGCCCTGCACGTCCGGTCAACACCCGGGATCCAGCCCTGCATCACAGAAGGTAGTGATGCCCCGCTCTGTCCAACCTGCACCTCCACTGGCCTGGCCCCTCCTCTCATGGGAACCAGCTCTGCACTCACCTCAGCAGCTTCATCTTCCCTGAGTATCTCAGGCATCTCCGGGACTTGGGTGATGTCTTTGTTTTCCGGTGATTTGCTCGTGGGCAGGTCCTCATGTGTATCGCGTTCTTCATGAGGGACCTGAACTGGATGTGGAGGGCTGCTGCTGCCCAGCTGGAAATCTTCTCTGGGTGGTTCCTGGAGCAAGAGGGCTTTGTCTTTGTCGTATTTCTGAATTTATCAGGTTCCTGATGTTTTTCGCTGTTTTGAGTTTCTTCTTCCACCCAGTGCAGCCCGGTTTGTCTGCTACAAATCCTCAGACCCCACACATTCAAGCCAAGCAGTAACATTCTTGTGTTTTCAATCATGTGAAACATTTCGGGGTGTTCTGAACTGTCTATAAGGATGCCTGACACACGAACACCACCATCCTTGCTGGATCAGAAGCTAAACTCCATGTTCCTCAGCACGGGTGGAGAGAGGCCTGCTGTGACCTCCCTGACCCCACATAGCTTACTGCACTTGCTCGCCCACACCACAGGCTTCTCACCTGAGCATTCCTGCTTAAACTGTACCCTCACCCACATGCCCATAAACCCTTTTGCTTTCCCTTGAAATCAGGTCTTTCTATGTAGACCAGGTTGGCCTGGAACTCACAGTCCTCTTTCCCAAGTGGTGAGATTATAGGTGTGTGTTACCACGGCTGTGCCTCCCTACTATTTCCTCCATGAGCTTTCAGACCCAAAGGCATCATCCAGGTGCTTATCCCTGCTCTCCTACCCAGGCCCGGTCTGACTGCATGAAGTCCCTTCTAAGGCTTCTCACAAGAATACTTTTAAATTCTTCCATTGCACCTACCCTGTCCTCTACTAGTCTGCTGATTTGTATCTCCTCAAAGGGGCTCTAAATCCCCCAAGGACATGGATCATCTTAGACTCCACCATGGAAGAAGTCATGCTTCTGCCAACAAGAGGAACATCTTTAGCTTGTGTGTGTGTGTGTGTGTGTGTGTGTGTGTATGTGTGTGTGTGTGTGGTGTGCATGTGTGTGTGTAGTTTGGAAACAAGGAGATAGATCCTGTGGTCTTCTACCTCTTTTTCCTCTTTCCCATCTTCCACTATAAGTTAATTTCAAAATCACCATGGTAATCTACAGTCCTACAGCACAGACTTATGTGTTCTCTTGGCAAGAGAGACTCAGACTGAAGGATTTCTCATATCTCCTGTTCACAACTGAAGACTTAGAGCTTATCTCTCAGTAGGCAGCCATTAGGGCAGGGAATCACAGACTGAGAATGCATGTGAATGTGCATGTTCACATGCTCTTCCACACCTACTTAACAGGTAGAGCATCATGTGAAAAGGTAGACTAAATATGCCATTAGCTGATGGGATGATGAACATATAAGTGAATATAAGCTTTCTGGAAGGCAATTTGGTACAGGCTATCATAAGACTCCAATATATGTCTGAATCTATGTCCACAGAGCCTACACCATAGACAGGGTCTGAAATTTATGGACACATGAATGCCTTCCCCCAAAAGCCTACAATCTCTTGACTTTTGTGTTCTTTGGTTTTATTTAGAGGCCAGATCTTCCTAAGACATCTAGATAGGCCTGAACTTACAGTCCTCCTTCCTCAACCCCTCTAGTGCTGAGATTATAGGTCTGTGCCACCATGCTGACCTCCCTACTGCTTCCTCCATAAGTCTGCAGATCCAAGGCTTCACCCCAGGAAGTTACTCCTGGATTCTTCTTCACTCCCAGCCTGGCTGCGTGAGTGCCTTTGTAAGTCTTCTCATGATGTCATTTTTTAGCTCTTCTGTAGTGCTTAAACCTTATCCCCTACTAGTCAGTTGATTTGTATCTCCTCAAAGAGGCTCTAAAATTCCTGAAGACATAGATCATCTTAGACTCCACAATAAAAGAGAGAAGCGACCCCATGCCATTTGTCCTTCTGCAAATAAGTGAATGGTTCATGTATAAAATATTTTACAAAAAAGTTAATAGATCCTGTGGTCTTCTGACCCTTCTCCTTCTCTTTCCTCTCTTTCATTATAACTTGGTTCCAATATTGCCATGGTAATCAACACCCATAGAACATAGATTTATGTTTTCTCTTGGCCACAGAGACTCAGACTCTGAAGGACTTCTCACATCTCCTCATCAGTACTCAAGAAGAAGGATTTAGAGGCAAAGGGAGCAGCGCATTGGCTGTAACTTAGGACTTCGAGGGTGAGAAAGTACGAAGGGCAAGCAGTGTCGGGAAGTTCCTGCCCCGTCCTTCTGGGTTCCGGCCCTTTCCTCACCCTCCTGCTTCCAGGGTAACTTCGCACCACATCCGCTGTGGAAGGTTGCACGGGCCAAGCACAGAGCTCAGTTTTGCCACAGAAGCAGCCGCCAGCCCCTTGGTGGCCCAACTGGCTGTCACGTCTCCGTGTCCCAGTGCCTCCCTCTTCCACCGCTTTCATTTTGATTGCAATCTCAGCCTGAAATCCCCTTCCAGGAGCCCCTTCTATCTCTCCCCTTTCCTCTTTGCGTACCACACCACCCCTCTCTCAGCATCCTGGGGACCAGGCCCCCTGCAGGTCAGGCCAGGTTAGTGCTCCCACAGAGAGGTTTTCTTCCTGTTTGACTCCAAGCACAACCTTCCTCATTGCTACCAATATCTAGGAGTTACACTCTACATAGTCCTTTCCAAATGTCTTTTCATATGTGTCTCTGGAGCCTGTTTCACTCTGACTTCTTTCCTATATCATTCTCCATTATATCTCTCATTATTTGAGTATATAGTTTATTTCTCTGCTCTGAAGCTGATGCTGCTTACCTGGTTGGAATGACAGTTCCTATCCTTACACACAGTGGTGGCAATGTATATCGGTGGAAACTTTAGCTAAGCAATTTGGCATAACTTCTCAAACCCTTATAATTGGGTACTATAGATCCTTTGGCTTAGTAATCCCATTTCTAACAGCATATCCAGAGTAATAAAATGCAGTGCAAATTCTAACCAAGGATATTGACTACTGTATTATTTATACCAGTGAACAGTTAGAAATAACCAATGTGTCAACAGTAGGAGAATAGTAAAATAAGTATCAAAATTAAAAACCAAAGCAGTATTCAAAAATCTTAATGGCAATTTAAGTGAGTCTGTCAGGGTATCTCTGGGGTTATCTCTTTTTCTCTACAATACCAGCGACTTTCTTTTTTTCTTTTACCTATTCTGCTCTTCTAATATGCATATGATATAATCATAAAGAGGTTAGCAGAATGATTTCCATCCCCCTAGGGCAGGCATTGTGCATTTCTCTCTAAGGGTACGTGTACTCAAGGATCATTTACAGGGTTAGACATGAGGGGTGTCCTCAGGGACAGTCACACACAAGACCTCCCTGTATTTGGGCACAACCTAAGAGCTTGCTTTGGGTTCCCGCTGATGGATGACTAGTTTGGAAGAGAATGAGTTAATGCCAAATTCCCTGAAAATGATATTGGTGTGATATCAAAAGAGAAGTACTTGCAGATTCTGTGGGAAATCCCTCTTGTCCTTTTGTCTTTTCAGTCTGAAGAAATGGTTCTCACACCCACAAAACTAGAGGATGAAATGTCTCTGCAGATGAAGACTGTGGAGAAGGAACAGTAGCTGACCGAGAAGGGCAACAGCTTCCTCCAAAATCTCCATCTGATTGAAGGTCCAATGAGGTAAGTCAGGGCTGAGCATGGGGACTGTCTGCTGACTTCCTCAGGCCAGCCACGTGATGATGAAGCTGTTTCAATTCAGAATCCTGGTCTCCTTCCCTACTACTCATCTACTGATGGTATCATGAACATTTACTGAAGTCAGTCTTACGAAACTCGCAGGAAGCCTCTGATCATAAACTTCTTAAAATAGCAGGCACACATAAATTACTAAGATGTTAATCTCAGTTTGAGACAACCGCCTGCTTCATGGTGATTGTTTTGTACTGTCATTATTTTTACTCATAAAGATAAAGCCATTTCAACTACTTCCTGAAGTAGAGAGTAGACATACTTATACAAGCATACATATATTTAGTAGCGCAGAATGCCAGTGTTAGGATTTGGGCAGATCACTTTGTGCCTGCCACATAGCCCAATATTTCAACTTGAACAAATCACTAAAAAGGAGGGGCCTGGAGGGTTCAGTATCTGCCTTGATTCAGTTCTAGTCTGTCCTGATTCTGAAGAGAAATAATGCACTTTCCAGCAATTTGTAAAGTCTTGTGTAGGTGTTAGTTATTCCTACTGAGGTGGACAGTAGTTTAGTGTAGGTACTTCAGTAAAAATCTTGCCTGTTAACCTTACCCCAAAATTTTCTCTTCTGGGATTAAAAATAATGTTGCTGAACCACAGAATTTTAAACCAGACTTCTTAAAGAGACAGATGCATTGTTTCACAGTATAGTTTCCAAAAAGAGAAGTGTTGAAGCTTTAATTATTATCAGTTTTCACATGTATACAATTGAAATGCCTAGAATATTTTTATAGGACAATTCCAAGAACAAAGAAAGAAATTAAGTAGGTCACACACATAGAATAGGGTGTTTCTCCCAAACTCTGCTGGGAAAACAAATAAAAGAACCAAAAAGAAGTCTACAGGGAGGGCAGGCAAGGAAGGGATGGGAAGTGGGAAAGTGATCGTAGTATGCCATTTGTACATATACATCTACCAAAGTGAAATCCATTGATCTGTATAACCAATGTGCATCACTAGAAAAAATGTGAAAAAAAAAAACAAAAAATGTTAAAAATTAAAAACTAATATTGTCTCATATCATAAAAACAATGAAAGAATTGTACAATATTCAGACACATTTTGAACTTACCATCTTAAAATTAACATTCATCACATTCCCTTTTTATTTATATATAAAGTAGATAGAATTTTCTGAACCAGTTTTAGACATAGATTTAAGACAGCTCAACACTTCATCCCTGTTTACTTAAGAAAGCAGTTGTAAAAATGAAGACTTTTTTCTACATTTCTAAAACATCATCACATAATACTAATAGAAATATTAGTATTAATTCCATAATCTAATATCCTCAACTCTCTTAATATTTTCATTTCCTTGACTATGGCTTAAATGTCTAGTGCTATATGTCTTAGAGAGGTGTCCAATCAACATCAATGCAATGCATTCATTTGTGATATCTCTTGAAACTCTTTCATACTACATTGTCTTTTCCATGACCTTGAGTTTTTGAAGAGACTGGAAGTCATCTAATTTGGCTAGTTTTGGAGTCCATGATGAGGTGGTATTCCATTGCTCATCAATGAAAAGAGCTCTGCATGTACACTCTGATGTTATCCATGTTGTAGCCCCAGACTTTTGTTGTCTAAACAGAAGGTCATTTGCTCTTGATTCTCAAGGTAGAACTACCTAAGGGAACCAACAGTAGCCATGCCACTGTCTCAACATTAGACTGCCTTGAAATTTCTTCCACTAGATTGATTAGACTGCCATGCTTAATTTCAGTCTCCTGCAGTGTCTGTGGGCACTGGCAAAATATAGGCAAATTTTCTGGCAGAACTTAATGCATATGGTCTGAAGCCCAACTGCCAGTACAGTGCTTGTTCCCAACTGAAACTTCTTGAGCCAGGTCTTTACTGACAGCTTATCTATCAACATCTTGGTCTTCCGAGCTCTGACCAGAATCTCCCATCAAACTTGGCTCATAGCATACTAGGGCTGTTCATTCAGCTGACATCTCCAAAACTTTTCCAAACTCTTCCTATAAACCAGTTCCATAGGCTTCTGAACTTCATGGCCAGGAAGTGTCACAGCAATGACCTCACTTCTCTGTACCAACATCTGTCCTCAGTAATCCATTCAGCCACACCCAGAACTATGTTAATCTGATTAGGCATCTAATTCAGCTATCACACACATAATCCAGTATCACATCTGTGATCTAGCTGCCTCCCATAAGACCCACCTCCAAGCACAAGATTAATAGAACCATAGAGGATCAATTGGTGTAGGAGGGCTGATGACATTAGCAGATTGGTTGAAAGGTCACTCAGTGATCCCAGTAGGGGAACAGGTAGAGACAGGAATGTAAGGGAGGAGATCCTGAAGTAATTATGCTGAGGCCAGATTTAGGGATTTGGATGTGTAGCCAACAGGAAGGTGTGTGGGTATTGACAGAGGGGTGTGAATATGGCTCCAGTTCTCCTTATATTGGAATCTAGAAGGGTGGGTGTTTTGTTGGTAAAGAGGAGACAAAAGTATTTCACAGGAACAACCATCAGTAGAAAAACTTAAGAGTCAGGCATATCGGGCAACCAAGAGAGTTGGGAGAGCATAAAGTTTGCCATAATGGTGTGTGCATTCCCCATAAAGAAACCTTGCAGTGTTCTTCTTTAGGTTCTCAGAAATAGCGCTTTCTCAGTGCTGTCCTTTTAACTGGATATATCAGAATTTGGGTAGTTTTATACATTACAGATTTCAGATCCCACCCTCACATATTCAGATTAAGTATATCTAATGTGGGGCCCAAAGATTTTATTTTTAAAAATGTCCCCAACTAGAGGATTTAGCTCAGTGGTAGAGCATGTGCTTAGCATGCATGTGGCCCCAGGTTCAATCCCCTGCAGCAGAAAATTAAATTCTCCCTGGCTGTGTCTGATATAAATCCAAATTTAGGGACTATGCTTTTTGGTGCACTGTAGGAAAATCCTGGTTATATAGTAAATACTCAGTATTTGTTAAAGTACATTGCTCTAGCTGGTTTTATCTTTCTGACCTTATCAATTCAGTCAGTGCCTCATTTCACATGGATTTGCAGTAATTTCTGTCAATATCTGCTTTTTTCAGTGCCCATGTATTCTCACACCTTTGAAATAGCTTTCAGTTCCTTTACTAATTTTTTATTTTATCGCCCCACCGTCACTGGGATGCCAGTTTTTCAACAGCTATTTTAACCTAGATCCTCCACTGTTCTTTGCATTTATGTTGTTACCATTGTAATGGGCTTTACATAACTGGGTCACTGGTGGGAACCCAATCTCTTGTATTCACTTGCACAGATTGCCATGATGTACACAGCCTTGTGATGATATGTAAGAGAATTCCAAAAAAGCACTTAATTGTGTGTATATCTGATTATTACCCCCAAAGATTCTGCTTTTGGGAGCCAGAATAAATCTCTGACATTCCCCCATTTCAACAGATTCTCCTAACAATTCTTGTTCTTATGTTCCAAAATGTAAGCACCACTGTGCTATATTATGGGCAAAGTTAATTGGGATGACAAATTAGTCATGAAGCATATAAGATTAGGCAAGAAGTAATTAACTTTGCTCAGAAGGGGAGGAAGATGAGGGAGGAGTGTGAGGGAATTTCCAGGAACACCACCAGTCCGGGGAATGGGTTGCACCAGTGTTAGATAGGATAAATTTTGATGGGCAATAATCTGTCAACTATTATTTGGAACGTGAGTCTAATCTAATATTCTGGCATGTAAATATCAATGGGAAAGGAGTTACCAGGTACGAGGAAAGCTGCGGTGTGTGGACTGAGCATGTTTTGAACATGTAGAGAGTTGTGTGCAGTGTGTACTGGTAAGAATGGAAAGGGAGGACAGGTAGGGAAAGACCTGGCCTGCTTGGAGTAAGTTCTATCCAGATCATCTCCTTGGAATGGAAAGCACAAATGGCCCAAGTATTAAAAATGCTACCACTCTACCTTGGTGACCTCTACAATATAGGAAATTATTGTTATTGTTTTTTGTTTTCTTGAACACAGGATCTTACCATGTTTTGGAGACGGATCTTGGCTCAAGTAACCCACCTGCCTCACCCTCCTGAGAAGCTGGAACTACAGTTACATGTAAAAGAAGCTGGTTACCTTACATATTTTATAGAAAATTTAGGGGGCGTGAGTGGGGCTCAGGGGCTTGGGGTATGGCTCAGTGATGGGGTGCTTGCCTGCCATATATGAGGTCCTAGGCTCAATCCCTAAGACTGCTAATAATAACAGTGAGGATAAGGAAAGATTTAAACCAAAAACTCCTTGGGAAATATTTAAACAAAGAGCCAAGGTTCATATTCTAGCCCTCATGTGTCTGAAATGAATGGAAAAGGTTAGTTAAAAGAAAAATTAATTAATTAATTTTGTAATGGGAATGTTCAGGGGAACTTAATTTCTTTAACTTAGCCCTTCATTAAACATTTTAAAAAGACTTTGAAAAGCAGTCATTCTTTTTGTTTTGTTAAAAGCTTTTGTTAAAAACTTTTTGTTAAAAACTTGCCTCAGTATTCCAGCATAATGGGATTACAGTCTTGTACCACCACACCAGGTTATTCTTTTTTTAATTAAAATTTTCAATTTACAAGTGGATGAATAAAATCAGCAAGTTGAATGTAACTGTTTCTGATTTTTTTTTTTTAATGGGCATCCAGAGAATACCTTCGGGTCCCAAGAAGAAGTAATTAAACTGAGACTCCCCTCAAAGGGCGGTCTTGTGATTGTTTCTAACCTGTCTCTTCGGGGAAACTATTAGGGAGGTTAGTGGTGGTAGGTAAGAAGTGGCTTCTTATTCACCAAAAGAACATGAAAATAGTTCAGAGTTGTCATCAGTGCCATACTTACCATCAGAACAGCAGCAATTTCCTTTAGAAGCAATTCTACAACCACACTTGCTTCACTTGGATTCAGCTTGTGATTTCTGCCATGTGTGTAACCTGCCCTGCATTGGTGCTGCGACTGGGAAGAGAACAGTGTGTGCTTCCAGAATCCTCCATGATCGCTCCACGATGGTCAGGTGCTAATAGCACTTACCTCATAGGAAGACTGAGAGGATGACATGAGATGAAAGGCAGAGGTCTTTTGGTCATACGGAAAGAAAAGCAAGATCTGGCAAAACTGGAGAAAGATATTCAGTGGTTGGCTGCTTTGCTAGCTGTGTGCCCTCAGGTCAGGGCTACAGGCCACAGGTCCACAGTGATGTACAAAGCATCCTTGCATCCAGTAGGTGGCTGTATCAGATGTCCTCTGAGATTTCTCTCAAGATCTACATTTCTTATTCTCTGAAGGTTTTCTCCTGTTGTGCCCCCCATCATGATAGTATCTGGCCAATTTCTTCAGTAGCAAAATAAAGCTGATCTTTAGAATAACCACACAGAAAATAGTTATCTAAATTTACAGACTACTGAGTGTTGAACCCAGAGACATGGTCAGTGTACACTTCCATTAAGCCAGCCATGTCCCAGGTACTGGGGGATTTTAGGTTCTGCTCAGCAGCCTTCCTCTTGTGCTTCTCCTGCAGTATCCTTGTCCTTTGGAGGTCAGTGGTTTTGGTGCTTTTATTGAAGAATTAGAGTCTTTTAGAACTGACGTGTTACAGTGAGGCCTAAATACAGAACAGGTAAGAACTACAGGTCTGGTTAAGAGCAGGGAGAAGGAGGCTGAGGTGCCCTCCATGGGCTCCATCCCTACGCTTTTGTAACCCATGGTTGGAGCACTGCTGCTCCGGACCTGGCCTCTTTCCTCTGGAGTCTTTCCCCGGCTCTACTCTGATGGCAGCAGCTTCCATTTCAGTTGCAGAGGAGATAGGATGCAACGTCCTGTTTTTGTATCCTGCCATGACAGTGGGAGTGGACATTCTCTCCCCTATCTCATGCTGCTGGCTGAAGTTTTGGAAGAACATGAGCCCAGAGGCAGCTATCTTGTTTCTAGGGTTGAGGAATGGCTGTTGGCCACCCAGCCACTGTGAGAAGGCATGTGGGGAGCAAGCAGACCACCGACACTGCCCAGCACATATGTCCCTTACCGAGGGAGAAAGAACAATGAGGAACAAAGACAGGCTGAGTAGTGGGTCCACATCTGAGTGAGTTAAGGCTTGTTGAATGAATGTTGGATGAATGAAAGGGGAAAGGCAGGGATCTGACTCAAGCAGGGAAAGAAAATGAAAAAGGAACAAAAAGACATAGTTTATTTTTGGGGTTGAGAGATTATTTGGGGATAGAATGCCTTTAAGAAATGGAAAGTGGAAAGCATTCATGTGGTGATCCATTTTCTGCAACCCTATGTTAGTCAAGGCTTTTTCTTGAATGGAGGGTAAAGAACACAAAGAAGCATTAAGGATGGAGCATGATTTTTATAAAGCAAGAAATGTATTTAGCAGGAAAACAGAAAATGTACTGAAACTGACACATATAACCACACATTAAAACATCTGTACAATGTCAATAACCCTTACAACTACCTTTGATGTAGGTATTGCCAATTCTAGTTTATGAGGAGGTAACTGAAGTTTCAGAAAGGTATTTGAGTGATGTGTGCCATCCTACCCAGCAAGTAAGTGGCAGGGCTGGGCAAGGGGCCCCAGCCTCTTTTTCTGTTCACTTTAGCACACAGACAAGTTTTGGCAGATAATATGGGCTTTAATTAGATATTGAGGGAGAAGCAGGGATTCCAATGAGACAAAAAGGTGAGAACAGGCAGGGATCTGTGACTAGACTTGCTTGATCAGATCAGTACTTGGTTTGTGAGCCTGGCCAAGGTTGTCCTCAGTTTGATCTTTCTTTTCAATGCATTCTCTTACACTTCTTGTCTCTGTTACTTCGACAGAAGGGAGGTTGTGGCCTGAACAGCCCACTGTGCATCCTTCATAGAAGGTGGTAGTCTCACGGCAAGAGATGTAACCTTTGAGGGAGGTTGTGGTCTTTTGGGGAAAGGTATGGGAAGGATGGAGATCACCCCCATTGGTCCTCTCCTTGGAACCAAGACCTGAATAGGACGCCTCTGATTTTGAGCAGTCACTGTTGGAAACTGAGGATGCCATGAAGTTATGCAGCTGAATCCTCAGTCTCTGTCACGTCCTGAGGTTTCAAAAGAAAAAAATTAAGATGTTGCAGAGAAGAGAGTCGTGTACTTAAGCAAAAATATGTCCCATTTCCTTTTTCTATCCTGAATTATTCTATTCAGATAACAGTGCATCCTATAAACCCCTCTCCCAGGAAGGACAGAAAAGCTCATTCCCTTTCTTTAAAAGCTTGTATCACTGTACAGTAATCTTCTCTACCAAACATGACCAGAGCCCTCTCATCTTTTGCCTTTTGACAGTTGAAAGAACTTGTATCATAAGAGAAAATCATACTTGAGTCAAATTTGAAAACAACAAGAAAATATGAGGTTGAAAACAGTTATGCCTATGATCTTACCATCACCCATTGGTAAGGATAGCCATTAAAGCCTTTTGGTAGATTTTAAAATAATCTTTGCTTTCATTTTAGTGTGTATGTATATATATATATGGCATATATACCCATATAGATGATTATATCACATCAGGAGAAACTGAGATTATTAAATGTTATGACATAGCCTATGGTAATAATGCATGGGTATTCAATAATTCTTAGCTACTCTTTTATTACTGACTCTTCCTCGGTCACCTGTTAGCGACCATTAAGTTAGGTGATTAATGACCACTGGAGTGTTAACACTATTAACAGTGATCATATTCATGACCATTAGATATAAATCTGTAGCAAACTCATTTGTTCATAAATTTCTGGACATTTTCATCATTATGTTTTTATATGTGGGATCTGTGAGTATGTTGGAGTCTACTGATAGGCCACATCAAATTGCTTTCCAGATAGATACAATGATACAAGCTTATATCCACTTGTTGTGGTGCCTAGTTTCACAGACTTAAGTCTTTCCACAGTTCTGGCCACAAACCTAATTGAATGAGAACCAAAGCAAATTCATTGGTTAGGTTCCATGTTGACCTTATGGGGAAATTTGATTTGGTTCTCATCCAGTTTGGTTTATTACCAGAATTGTGGAAAGAAGTAAGTTAATAAACTGATGTACCACCATACATGGTCATCATCCCACCAGCTAATGTCATATCCATCATTTTCCATGATGCTGTAGCTGTTAAGTAGGTGTGAAAGAACACATGGGCACACACATGCCTATACACACACACACACACACACATACACATTTCCAGACTTCAGTGCCTTCTTTGATAGATACTCACCTGAATAAGCTCTGAACTTCTGAGGTGTGACCAACAGATGTGAGAAATCCTTCAGATTTTGTATCTCCATGGATAAGAGATGACATGTCTGTGTTCTATGATGATGTTGATTACCATGGCAATATCAGAACTGAGATGTAACAGATGAGTGGAAAGAGGAAAAAGAGTAGAAGACCACAGGATCTATCCCTTGCTTCCAAAATACTCTGTAGACACATCACACAGACTAAAGAATAATCTTCTTGCTGGCAGAAGCATGAATACGCTGGAGGTTGCTTCCCTCTTTTTTTGAGGAGACTAACGTGATCTATGTCCTTAGAAATTCTGATCCTCTTTGAGGTCTGACCTGGAGAATTCTCCTGTGACTTCCTCAAGCCAGCAAACAACATTTGTTCAGTTATTTAGGAGATCACTTTACAGCCGGTTCCTTGTTTAGGGGAGGTGGAGAAAACCTGCTGCTCCACATCAGATGATCTGTAGTTTAGTACTACTAAGGGTACTTACTTCTGAGATGATGAAACGCACTGGTTTGGTTATGGATATATGAGAAGTGGCTCAATGAAGACCTGCCTTTCATGTCACAGTGAGAATGCTGTCAAGCTCAGCCACATATGTCATTTGTTGGAGTAAACCAAAATAAAGCTTCATAAGAAAAATTCCCATAACACACATGAAAAGAATATAATCATTCATTTAAAAAGTTTACCATTTTTGTAGTCTTTCCTGTGCAATTCCAAATCAATAAAACTCTTGTGAAATAAATCAAGATTTCAGCCAATTCTGCTACTCCACTCCAGAATTCTAGAGCTTCGAAAAATAACCTTAAAATTTCCTAAACTCAGAATGGAATTTTGTAAGAATACATACTCCTTTGAACATGATAGTTTGACAGAAATAGTTTTGTTCAGATCACATATAAGTACTGTAGTTTATAAAAGATGTAATACCTAGTGTTTTTGTAGATGTTGACATTTAGAAATAGAATCATGGTTGGTCCCTGACCAAATGAGTTTCACTTGTGATTTTTTTCTTTATAATGATATGAAAGCAACACACATTCAGTAGAAATCTTATGCTGAATTTTGATCTTTTCTGGGCTAGTGGTTTGTGGTAAGGCACTGGATGCTAGGCAGGGTGATGAGTTGCCACTCCCAGTCAGCCACTTTAATACTATCAGAAGTAGCCAACACTGTGCTTTGTTGCTCAAGTCTGATGCTCAGTAGGCTAGAAGTATTAAGTACTATACATTTGGGGTTGATAATACTTTTAATTTATGATGGGTTTTCCTGGAAATAGCCCCAGTATGAATCAAGGAACTATATTTTCACTGTTTAATATATTAAATAGAATCTACATATTAATAACTACCATCATCCATTTTAAAGATATATTCATGATCTCCTCTTTTACAGTAAGATGCTTTACTTTATTGTCTTCAATTCCATTTCTACCAAAATCTTATGTTTTAGTAATACATTTTATGTGTTCTCAACTGTGGTTTATATTTCTTGGCCATAAAAATATTTACACCTATACACAGACTAGGCTTTTTGTTTCTTGAGATATTAGGTCCCTAAAAATAACATTTTCTGTTTGTATTGCTTATCTCTATAGTAGCATCTAATTTTAACCAAAGAAGCATAAATATCTTTCAAATATAATAAACACTAAATATAAAAAGTAAAACCACACTGGAAGGCCCCTGGAGGGAGTGCCCCCGGCGCACGGGGAGCCATGCTGCTGCGAGTGCTGTTGCGCACTGGCCTTCAGGCCGGCTGCCACTGCTCAATTGAGAACTATCATGACACAGAGAAACAATGACACAATTGGCCCACCATGCACCGGCTGCAGATGCCCACCTATGGACGTGTGTGAATCATTCAAACATGGAAAAAACCCTGGGAATACATGCTATACAACGGGCCACTCTTGCTCCTGCCACTGAGAACCAGAAAGGTCTAGAGTCAGCAGAGGAGCAGCTGCTGAACAAGGACTCAGAGAACATGAGAATGCAGACTAAGCCTGAGGGGTCAGAGGTCCTGAGGACTCGGGTCATGAGAGCCGTTCAGAAGCTCTAAACCAGGAGGACTTTGCACAGTACATGTGGAGACTCCCTGGAAGCCATTCTTCCCTTGACAGTACAGGCTGTGGTGGAGCTCTGGAGAAGTCTGCAACAGGATTCCTGCTGCCTGTGCTGACAGTTGGGGAGAGGACACTAACTGGTTGTGGGGTCCCAATGCGATGGGAGGCTGGGGAGAAAAAGATACAAAAAATGGCTTTCACCCCAGACGGCTCACTTGATTTTTGACAACCTTTAGGCTGTAACTACTTGTTAGATCCTTCTTGTGTATCTCTGTCTTCCTGAGAAATCACTTCTAAGATACCAACATGTATTACAGCAGTCATTGATATTTTCCTACTAATCTATCCATAACTCTGTAATGTTTGTATTGTTCCTATCCTATTTCATAAATGGATCCATGTTTATTATTATGTGTTTCCTACAACAACCATTGAGAATAGTTAATGATTATTCAATAGGTCACTCATGCATAGTTCTATTTATTTTCTTTTGAAGATACCTAAGTAGAGTACAACAACTATTGATAATCTCTTACCTCTTTTGTCTGTAACTCACTATTATTTGTATATTTGTTTTCCTGAGAAACTATCTTGTAGATAACAATATGTAAAACAATAACCATTGATAATTTCCTACCACTTTGTCTGTAATTTGGTAAGCCCCCCCCCATTATTGTTATCCTTCTTTTACTCTTTAAAATTAAAAAAAATAATAAAAATAAAACCACACTGGAACTATATCATTTAATTCAATGTAGTGGGGTGTTTTTACTGCTATACTTGTGTATCCATAGATTAAAATCAGAGTAACAAATTTCTGCATCCAGTCCCTATTACTCCTTATTAAAGATTCAAGTGATGAGACACTTCATTCAAATAAATAAATGAAGCTGGGATGAGGGAAAAGAGAAAAGAAAGAAAGAAAGAAAGAAAGAAAGAAAGAAAGAAAGAAAGAAAGAAAGAAAAGGAAGAAGGGGAAAATATGTGTATATATGCATAGGATAGCTAAGATAGTTGTACTACTGATTTCTATTATCGTACTGAAAGGAACAGTTAATGTTTAATTGTTTGATCAATCTTACATGCCTATATTTGTTTATCTGAGTAACCAATTTGAAGATATCAATATGTAATACAACAACCATTGTTAATGCCTTATCACCTTGTCTGAAATTCTGTATTTCTTCTATTGTTTTTGTATTTTGAAAATGTTTGTATGTGTTAATATGTTTTCATTATTTTATCTTTAAAATAAAAAATAAATAAATGAAAATGGAGACTATGTTGTTACTGCGATGTTACTAAAGCCTTTGAACTTCTTTGGAATAATACACGAAAAATCTCACCATGATCTCTGCTGTGGACTGCAAGTACTCTCCAAAATTTCATATACAAAAACTGAATCACCTCTGTGATAGTTTTAAGAGGTGGAGCCCCCATAGATCAGATGAGGGCCTGCCTGTGTACAAGGGCTTGAGGGAGTGGGTTCTTTCCTCCCATTCTTGCCATGTAAGGAACATGGCATTCCTCCCTTCGCAGTAATCAGTGTTCACAGTGCCATATGGAAGGAAAGCTCAGGCCCTCACTGAACCTTCCAGTGTCTTGCTGTTGTACTTCCAAACCTCCATAACAATGTGAGGTAAATTTCTGTTATTTATAAATTATCTAGTCTAAGATACTTCAATTTATTATTAAAAGTAGTTTTTAGTGCTCACTCAGCTGACAAAGCAATAGATCTCTCATGCTGAACCTGACTCTGAAAACACTTGCTCCCCAGACATTGGAGTCTAACTGGAAACCAGTATTTCAAATTCTTTAGGTTTTTAGCCCAGAGGTTTTTATATATCAGGGCAATGAATAGGCTTGGGATGGGGATGTAGGAACAAAACAGCAGGTCAAGAAAAGAAGATCTCTCCATGGTGGCTGTGCATGTCCATTGCAGATGGATTTTAGAAAGTTCCCCGGTACAAGGGGAACTTCACGATCAATAAGTGAATGTCTTAAAGCCCATTTTGCAGGAAATCGTGGTAAAGTGTCTACGTAATCTCACCTTATATACACCCCAGTTTGAAAACAGTTGGTTTGGAACTCCAGGATTATAGGTTCTTCCTAAGAGTATTAGCACCATTTGGGAAAGATGCTACTCACCTTCTAGGTCAGTATTTCTCAAAACACATTTGCTGGACCACTTACATCAAATATTATCCATATGCTTGTTTAATACATTTGTTATGAAAATTTCTAGGTTGTCCACCAAGCCAACTGAGCTAGAACATTTATGGTGAGAGACACAGAAAACTTTATGTAACAAGCAACCTATTGTTTTCTTAAGTATGGACCTTAAAACGAAGTATCACACTCTTGGAGATCTTTGTTCTATTGTCTGGATATAGTGGAACTATCAGAAGGATCTATCCTTCATTACATCTTTTGGTAAGTTACCTTTACTAAGTTTTCATCTTAGCCTGAAGACTGGGAACACACATGCAAAACACAGTTATCAGTTTATTAAAATGTCATAGTGCTTCTTGAAACTTATGTCACCCAGCCTCCCCTATTATAAACCATTCTGGCTAAATATTTTACTTCAGAAGTTAGTGCTTAAAGATATAGTATCTGCTTTGTAAGTCTGCTGTGAGACTCAGTTACATATTATAATTAATAATGAGCTAAATTTTGGGTTCCATTTTGCCCAACCAGAAGCTCATAAGCTAATTTAATCACAGAAATTATATTGAATCTCATAATTAAAAGAGACATACTCTTATTTTTATTGAACATTTTATTTTCATCTTAAATTTTCCATTGTATCTTTAAACTAGACTATATATAAATTAACACCTTGCTTATTAGACTAATATATAAATTATGCAAATTTTCACAATACTTGACAGTGTAAAGAAAAATAAATTGAAAATCTTGCCATTTGGGCCAGGTATGGTAGCACAGGCCTGTAATCTCAGCACTATGGAGGCTGAGGCAGGTGGAGCACGATGAGTTCAAGGCTAGCTTAGGCTACATAGAGAGTTCAGAACTACATAGCAAGAACTTGTCTAAAAAAAATTTAAAAATTAAAAAATTTAAATCTTGGGATGGGAATATAGCTCAGCGGCACAAGCATCTGCCTGGCAAGCACAAGGTCCTGAGTTTGATTTTCAGAATACAGTGTAAAAAAAATGACATAAAATCTTGCCATTTGTAGATAGTTCCAGATAAAATTTTATGTGTTTGTCTTAATTTTCTGTGCATATGGAATAATCTACAGAGTGTGAATTACAGTATACACTGTGAATCCTGCTTTTTAAATTTAATATAATTATTTTAAAAACCTCTGTCCTACCCAAGAACAAAGGATATCTTTCCATTTTCTGATATGCTCTTTGATCTCCTTTGTCAGAGTACTGT